AACCATTGAGAGAAATTAGATAACAGAGGTGAAATAGGGGAAGGCTGATTAGCGTCCGTGCTGAAAACAGTAACCTCAGAATTCATGCCTAAAAAATGGCATGCCTCATAAAAAAAATTTTTAAATACAACTATTAAATATAATTTGTACAGATAACATCTAGGTGATGTGAAAATCACAACCAATGATTTTAACTTTGCAGCACTTCTTTAGAAAAAACCACGTCTAAACACTTTGTCAAGAAAAAGCGATAAAATTATCTAAATGAAGTGATTATATACAGTACCAGGAGAGAGGGTGCACTGACATAGATGGAGAGTATCTCTAGACAAATATCTTAAAGGGCGATTGAGTAGGGTATAAAAGACTGGAGCAAGCGAGAAAAAATCAGACCAATGCTCAGATGGGCAAAGATGAAACCCTGGCAGTCGAGTAATAGCTATAAGTGGCAGCAGAGGTATGTTTTGGAAACAAACAAATCCACAGACCATATCAAAATAAACTATAAGAAATACATATAAACAGACAAATCTCTGAACCACATCAAAATACCATAAGAAACAGAAAAACCCACAGACAACATCACGAGAAACTATAAGAGATAGAAAAACAAACAGATCTACAGACCACATCAAAAGGAATCGATATATTCAACCCCCAGAAACACAACAAAATAAAGAAATAGAGCATCTTTCTATTTTAGTAATTGAAATTTACTAGCAACAAAACACCTAGTAAATACTGTTTCTGCAGAAACACAACTTACAAGAGAGGCTAGTCGATTCATCATTTTACAAAGCTCAGAATTTAGTTCATCACAGCTCTTTTCAAACGTGGCTCTACTAACTTTTCTCTCCAATGTAATTATGTCTGCTTTCTACAAGAGAAAAGACACTTCCTGATATTCAATATCACATTATCTTTATGTGTGTATATGAAAGCATAACACATAAATCTTAATATAACACAACATCACACTGACTTTTAAAAATCTGATGGTATCTTTTTTCAAACCTTTGTAAAAGATGAAATAGCCTTGCAATTTCTTTCACTCATCTGGGATGATAAATAATGAACCACACATATACTATTAAAAAAAATTAATTTCTGTTCTTAATAGGACACTTGAATTAAATTTGTTCTTAATATAAAAATCACCTTTACTAAAATTAAAATATCTGAGTAACTGATTGTTTTCATTAATGTACATTTTATTTGTTTTTACTGTAATAGTAGATATCTTAAGTTCAGAAGCTACAGATAGTTGAGTATGTTATATTAAAATGATTCTGAATACATAAATCAGCAATTCGTGTAACAATCACAGCTGATATAAAGTCAGGGTGGATAGGTATGTACCAGAACTACATTTTGACACTGTTTGGCATTTTGTAGGTAACGTGGTACCTCTAAAAATTCACCACTTTTAGGAAAGGTATGTAACAGCCCTTTCTGACACAAAATATTCATGTATTCAGATCATAAAGATATGTTTCGATCGGGAATTTTGAAAAACAAAAAAGAATATGGATCAACTTGGGCAAAAAACACCTCTAAAAGGAGGCCTGCAACATGTCTTACCCCCAGTTGTGGTAAGCAATGTGCAGTATCCTGTAACAGGTGATAATCCATAAACACAAAGTCCAGTGGGGAAAACAACAGTACATTTCATGATCAAGAACAATCTCCATCTGGAAAAGCTAAACAAGTTGCTTCCACAATATATCCATATGCCTGTCACATATCTCAACCAGCTGGAGAATGAAATGGGTATTCATACTTCTTCATATGAAGAAATACCAGTCACAATGCTGAATAGAACAAAAATTAACTTATGTGTAATTGAATTAAGTAAAAATTGGAAAGATGACAGAAACTACCAAGGAAGAGGAATGGTATTCTTTAGACATGACAGCCTTACAAGGAAGCCTTTTGCAATGGAAACTATGTGTGACAGGACTACTATCATGATGCAAGGTCATCAGATAAAGCATGACAATATGGTGAGGCTCCAACTACCATTTTAATATAAATAACTCAATTTCTGTATAATTTGTGTACTTTATATACACTTAAGGATATGATTAATAAATACGGCACTTGGTTCAGTTCCATAGTTAATTTGTGAATTAGGAATTTATGTGTTTTACAGCTAGTCAATACAACTTCAAAAATACAACATACATCCTGTAAAGTAGTTGTAAAGTCTTCTTTTTCAGCTTTGGTTTCCTGCAGAGCTTCAACACATGACCAAAGCTCCTAAAACACAGTTTTAAAAGAACATACATAGAGTATAAGCCTTACAAGACAAACACCACTAAATAACAACAACACTTTCTTTAAATAGTCTATTATATCAAAATTACATTCCATAAAAGTCAACAGTATAAGTTTCAATTGTCTGTAAAATGTGAATAAAAAACCAACTTCTAAACAGTGATCTTACAACTTACTAGAAAGATTCATCATTATGTCGACACAATTAAAAATAGTGAATACAGTCTAATTCAGTTATCAACTGGCAACTGATTGGGAAATATGTATTAACCATTAAACAGAACATATAACTTGTTTCTTGGTTTTCCATCATCTGGTGGTAGAAAGATCAACTGTTTTGTTTATGTCAGTTGAAATATTGAAGATATAATTTTAGAACTACCTCTTATTGCCTAAATGGTTGATGAGTGTACAATCACTGATTGGCTAATATCTCTTACAGACCTTAAAATGTAATGGTTGATGAGTGTACAATCACTGATTAGCTAATATCTCTTACAGTCCTTAAAACCTAAATGGTTGATGAGTGTACAATCACTGATTAGCTAATATCTCTTACAGTCCTTAAAACCTAAATGGTTGATGAGTGTACAATCACTGAGTGGCTAATATCTCTTAAAGTCCTTAAAACCTAAATGGATGATGAGTGTACAATCACTGATTGGCTAATATCTCTTATAGTCCTTAATACCCAAATGGTTGATGAGTGTACAATCACTGATTGGCTAATATCTCTTATAGTCCTTAATACCTAAATGGTTGATGAGTGTACAATCACTGAGTGGCTAATATCTCTTATAGTCCTTAATACCTAAATGGATGATGAGTGTACAATCACTGATTGGCTAATATCTCTTATAGTCCTTAAAACCTAAATGGTTGATGAGTGTACAATCACTGATTAGCTAATATCTCCTATAGTCCTTAATACCTAAATGGTTGATGAGTATACAATCACTGAGTGGCTAAAATCTCTTACAGTCCTTAATACCAAAATAAATGTTGACAATAGTCAGTATATTTTATTTGAAAGTTAAAAGATTTGTGTTATAGAATGCAAGGAATACAATATTTCTTATAAGTTCAGAATAAACACTGATTTTTGTAAATATCAGATAACACCATGGCTACCTTCGATCCAACATGTCAGTGTTAAAATAGTGAGAGGTAGTGTCGGATAAGGACTCTGGCTGTTTTTGATTCTACATGTCAGTGTTAAAATGATGACAGGTTTTTTGTCATACATCACATGATTATTAAGTTATACAAATAAAGTATTAAAACACTTAATTACAGAATTGGGAAAAACAAACACTTTTCAATTATTTGTTTAATGTACAATTGTCCTTGTTTTTCTCAGTACTGTAATTATGGAGTTTCACTAAGTACCAATAGTTTCAAGTATTAATTATATAAAATACATTTTACAATGATAGAATGTGTTTAAAATGTACACATCTTTAAAAGGCCTTTTTATATAATATGTAATGTAAGTCACTTTTTTTTAGTTGATCACAATTATGTTGGCAGCACATCAGGTGTGCAAAACAATACGAGTCAAAGTTGTTAATACTGTACACTAAATTAATAATACATGCTTTTCTAAAGTTGTTTTAATGTTAGTTATTTTTATATGTTATCCAGTTGTTTATTCTTGACTTGGTACTTATTTTAAAGGAAGTTGAGTGACATTACTCCAATGGTCTGAGTTAAGGTAAACAATCACTTTGGTCACATGATTGGTATAAAGAAAGTTGATTTCCTTGAGTCATATACATTGAGCAAAAAACTTTGTTTTGAACTATTACATATTTCTATTTTTTGAAACTAGTTTTAGATTTCACACAGTAATTATATAATAATTGCTCTTAATTCTTATACTTTGTTATAAATTATTACATATTTTTAGTTTGGAAACAGTAGTTTTTATATTTCACATGGTCATTACACATTACTTTTTATACTGATATTATTAAGTGAATTTCAAAGTTTTACAGTGTGGAACTGGTCATACCTGCAAGTACTTTTCATGAACTGTTTGTAGCTCCACGACCCTTTGTTCCAGTTTATTAATATATCCTTGAAGCAAATGTAAAGTATGTTCAATTGCAATCAAAGATTGATTATCCTATGATTGAAAAAAAGCTTGATCTATTAAACTGAATAAAAATATTCAAGTCAGAATTAATCAAAAGGCACTTGATAATAGCAGAGCATAAAAACTTCGTTTCTACAAACAACATATTAATTCATAGGAACATAACAACTTGGGAAAGTTAAAAATTAGAATCATCATATTAAAGATTTGTTCATTTGATGTTAAGCACAAAGTTACACAATGGGCTATTTATACTGTGTCAAAACCTTATTTTTAGTATTGTAACCCTTCAGACTTATCACTGAGCCACCAGGGAACTCATATTAAGGAAGAATTAGGAGTTAAAATTAGCATAAAGCAACATCCTTACTTAACTAAAAGAAATCAACAAATATGCTATGCAGGTTTTTCTACCAGGGAATGAATGTTCAAAACTCTCATGTACATGAAACAAGTGGTGGGTGTGCAGAAGATGATCTGAATTTCCATGTACTTTCACCAATACCCTCTTCAAAGGTGCACAAAGCATTCATATCGTGTATCAAAAAAAAAGGAACCTCCCAATGCCCTTAGGATTTGGTACATACAAATTTTGCATTAAAATACTTTACAGGTGAGATAATGCTCTACTATTAGGGTTAAAGTCTCACATTAACTGATTGAAGAGTCCTTATGATGGTAACTGTGTTACCAAAACTAGTTAGCTGAACTAACTTTCATTGTGCCAAAAACCATTATTTTTCACTCTTAATAATATGATAACATACAAGTTATAATGAAGTGAGTATCATCCAACTAATGAACTAAGTTGAACAAGCAAAAAAACACCAAGCAGGGTAGAATTATTAATATTTAAACACTGATAATTAAAATGTTGGACTATTCAACTGTTGTGCAAAATAATTAAAGATGACAAATGAATGAAAAAGGTATTTAAACAAAAGGACAGTTTAAATAAAATGTAGTTAGAGGCGATCTTACAAAACCAAAAAAAAAGTAACAAATAAAAGGTTAAAATACAGATTGGACTTTAATAACACATTATCCTTTGTGACAGAAACTAATCATTTTTGAAAATATTTTGTATTTAATAAATCAGAAAACTGAAGTACCACATCTCGGACATTTTTCTGATCAATGTGACAGTTGTCAAGCTCTTCTATACATAAAGTAGAATACAATACAACTATCCATTGAAACAGTATCCAACTTCAAAAATTGGATCTTTCTACAGAAAATAATGCCTACAGCTAAATACAGCACATGACCTCAACTCAATTTAGGATATACTTAATAAGAACTTTAAAAATTTACAATTTTGAAAATACATTTACAAGATAGTTAAATATGTGGTATTAAAGATATGAAATATACACTATAGGAGAAATTATGGAATACTAGCACAGAGATTCTGGTATTTAAGGTATCAAATATACACCAAAAGAAAACTTATTATATTTAAGATATACACACACGTATTTACACTATAGGAGAGAGAAATTCTGGTACTTAAGAAACAAAACTTACATTATAAGAGTTATAAATTCTGATATTTAATATATAAATATATATACTATAGGAGAGAAAAATCCTAGTACTTAGAATATCAAATATATGAAATTCAGATTAGTGTTATGGTAACGAATGGGCTGAAGTTTAAGTTTTTCTAATAAATAAAAAACTCTTCCTACATGGGACTAGAGAAAGGTTGAACAGGAGTATCTTGATTTCCCAGGCAAAAAAATTCTACAGATATAGATCTTAAAAATGTATCAAAATATATCAATATTTAATTTACAATGATAACGCAACTCTGCAAGAGGAAGTAGGAAATAGGGACTATTATCAGTCTTGTTGACATTTAAAATTACTTCTCCAAATAAATACTTGTTGAGTTTCAACACATGGAGCTAAGATGTTAGGCTGAAAATCATTGACAAACTCACACATTTTAATACAAAATCTATTGTGTGTTTATAATTACACTCTTAAGTGATACAAATATTACTATGACTGCTTTACTACTAAGTATAAGTTGTTTAATAAATCCACTTAATTGTGATATTGTACTAAACCTAGTATTTTCTGATATACAAGCTACCACTTTATCACAAAGTATAAGTCATTTAATAAATCCACTTAATTGCATGTACACTACTACTGTGATATTGTAATAAACCTAATATTTTCTGATATACAAGCTACCACTTTATCACAAAATATAAGTCATTTAATAAATCCACTTAATTGTGATATTGTACTAAACCTAATATTTTCTAATATACAAGCTGACACTTTATCACAAAGTATAAGTCATTTAATAAATACATTTAATATCACTCACACTGTGATATTGAGGAATTTAAATACTGACACCCATACATATAAACATATAGAATCAAGACACAATGATACAGACACCCATACATTAAAACATATAGAACTGAGACTTGATACTGAGACAACCATACATATAAACATATAGAATCGAGAGATAATGATACAGTGACACCCATACATATAAACATATAGAATCAATAGATAATGATACAGTGACACCCATACATATAAACATATAGAACTGAGACACAATGCTAAGCTAACTAAGATAATAGAATTTCATTGTACAATTCAGTGCTGTATAATTCAAGCTGTGTTTTGGTCCATATTTTGATGTGTTCATGTCAATCATCACAATTTCTAGTGTTGTTATACCAGTTTACGAAGAAAATCCTAAGAACCAAGTTGTTCAAATTTCCTCTGTGTTATGTTTTTTTAACGTTTTAACAGTAGCTCTGTCATGATGATGTTGTCTATAAGAACAGTATCTATACTTTTATGTTGGTACAGTGGATGTGTATCATCATGTCTGGTGTAACACTGTTCCAGTTCATACAGTGTATCATCATGTCTGGTCTAACAATGTTCCACTACTTAGAGTGTATCATTATGTCTGGTGTAACACTGTTCCACTACTTATAATGTATCATCATGTCTGGTGTAACACTGTTCCACTACTTACAGTGTATCATTATGTCTGGTGTAACACTGTTCCACTACTTTACTAGAGCAGTGTTAGACCAGACATGATGATACACTGTAAGTAGTGGAACAGTGTTAGACCAGACACAATGATACACTGTTAGTAGTGGAACTGTGTTACACCAGACATGATGATACATTGTAAGTAGTAGAACAGTGTTACACCAGACATGATGATACACTGTAAGAACTGGAACAGTGTTAGACCAGACATGATGATACACTCTTAACACTGTTCCACTACTTACAGTGTATCATCATGTCTGGTCTAACACTGTTCCAGTTCTTACAGTGTATCATCATCATGTCTGGTGTAACACTGTTCCAATTCTTACAGTGTATCATCATGTCTGGTGTAACACTGTTCCAGTACTTACAGTGTATCATCATGTCTGGTGTAACACTGTTCCAGTTCTTACAGTGTATCATCATGTCTGGTGTAACACTGTTTCAGTTCTTACAGTGTATCATCATGTCTGGTGTAACACTGTTTCAGTTCTTACATTG